CCAGAGTGTCTTGGCTTTCCATGCCTAAAATACTCTTATGGGCTCTTCAGCCAGATCCTAATGCCTTAAGGGCTGATTCTGAGGCCAGAGTGCTGTTTAGGACATCTGCCATGGTATGAGTCTGCTGTGTATCCCGCTTCCCATGTTGGATCATTCTCTTCCTTTTTTATTCTATCATTTAGTATTAGCAGGCACTAGTCTTGTTTATGTGATCCCTTTGACTCTTAGACCTATCATTGTGATCAGTTGTGAACTGACATTGGTCACTTGGACAAGTGAGATGACATTGGTACATGCCACCTTGATGGGATTGAATTAGAATCCCCTGGCACAATTCTAACTCTACCATTTGGGGCAAGTCAGCTTGAGCATGTCCCAAATTGTACATCTCCTCCCTCTCTTATTCCCACTCTTATATTTAACAGCGATCACTTTTCAGTTAAATTTAAACACCTAAAAATAATTGTGTGTTAATTACAGGCATATTTGATAAAGGGGTGCTCCAGTCAATATGAGAGCTCTGACCTCTCGATCTAGATTGGAATGAAGTTTACCCCTTTTAGTTATATATTAAGAGCACATTTTGAAGGAGACTGGGTAGCTTCCAGGGCTCCTCACCCCAAGAAACAATTGGTAATCTTGAGTTTCAGCATCTTTCCAGTTGATTGTGTGTCAACAGCTAAGGAAGTACTGATCCAAGGTGAAGGATACAAATATAAATACTATTCTATCCCAGAAACAAGAGCAGATCTGTCCTGTGTGGACTACCCAGATACTCAGGGAAGAAACAATTCTAAGAAAGTCAACTCAAAAAGAGAATTAAGACTGAAAGCACAGAAAGGATGACTAGGAATTTCCTCAAACCAAGATACAGTAACAGGGACTGGATTTACCTTCCCATGTGAAGCAAACACAATTCTAGACAAAATATAGTAAACAGTCATTAAGTAATTCAAAATCATTTGAAGGAAAAATTCCTGAGAAATTGGGAACTAACAAAATTAGCCCTACTGTTGCCCCATGTACTGCTTTGAGAGAGTTCCCATGCCACTGTGTACTGAGATCCCTCTCCATCTCCTGATACATCCTAGCCTGAACCTTCCCTATAGTCAGACTCCCCCATCTGCCTTCTCTTAAACATAGATCTTACACTCAGAGTACTACATCTTTGCTCACAGAAGCCCAAAGGATTCACACTGTACTTTCTATCACCTACATCTTACCATCATTTAAATTTCACTGGAAGCTTGGTCTCTTCCAGGACTCTCCACATAATGTTCCTAGCATTCTCATAATAACACTCTTCTGATCAGGTGTGTGTAGAGACAGTGTAATACGAAGTGGGCTAGGTTGAAGCAGTAGACCTATGATGTGTTATCTGTATAAATTTAGATAAGTAATTTAGATTGCCTTATAGCCTATCTTTGCTTATGAATAAAATGGAGATGATACCACTTAAACTCATTTAACCTATACAACAAGTTTGAAATTTTTACAGGAAAGAGCTTTGCAAAAGTTCTACTTCTTTTTCCCTGAGTGACTCAAACTGGTTTTATCCCATATTGTTTCCCTGTAAATGTGACTTTCTTTGTGTCTGGCTTTCATTATTAATTATACTACGTTCTCAGGATTTGTCTGCAATTAGTGTGGTGACCAGACCAGCAGCATCAATATTAATGGAGAAGTTGTTAGAAATGTAAATTTTCAGTCACTAACTCAGTCCTATTAAATAAGTAAGAGTGGGGTAAGTCCAATAATCTGAGTTTTAACAAGCCCTCCAAGTGATTCTGACTCATTCTAAAGTCATTATCTTCTAATAATCCTATTCATCCGCAGTGGTGTGAGTCACTGTGAATTTATTTAGCTACTCCCTTGAGATTGGAAACTTCATAAGAGAAGGGTTATGTCTCAGATGTCCACCACCAATACCACTAAAGTCCTGTTGAGGGATTATTTGAAGGTAAATTGTCTTAATATGAGTCTGAAGTACAGCCTGAAAATATCAACATTTCTATTTTTACAAAGACCATTTGGATTCATCATACTCATAAAAATGTAGTTAATTGATCCATATATTTTCTACAAAATGCTGAACAAATGCCAGGCAGGATAGTGCCAAACAGAAAGCTCAGCTGGTAACTCCTACATGTCTCTGTCCTCAGAAAGTTTTCTCGGGATTTCAACTGTTAGAAGCCACAGTAAGCAGAGAGTGACGAATAGAAAGTGTGGGCAACTTAATGAAAAAGAGCCTGAACTTCACCCACAACCTTATCATTACAGTAAGTACAGCACCCTGTGTGATGATGCACCAGGGACTTGAGTAATTGACTGTGATAATTTTTTCATATATAAATACTTTTGAGATCATTGGTCAAGCATTTTTCCATTTCCCTCATTGGTGATTGGTAAGTCATTATTCCTTTCAGGTCCCACATTCTTTTTAAAGATTTATTTATTTGAAATGCAGGGTTACAGAGGAGAAGAAGGAGGGAGAGAGGGGGAGAGAGCAGGAAGGGAGAGAGGGATAGAGAGAGAGGGAGATCGTCCATTTGCTGGTTCATTCCCCAAATGGCTTCAATGGCTGGGGCTGGGCAAGGCTGAAACCAGGAGCCTGGAACTCTATCCAGGTCTCCCACATGGATGGCAAGGATCCAACAACTTGGGCCATCTTCCTCTGATTTCCCAGGTGTATTGGTAGGGAGCTGGATTGGAATTGGAGCGCCTGTGGGGTTCGAATCACCTCTCATGTAGAATGCCAGTATTGCAGGTGATGGCTTAACCCACTGCACTACAGTGTCAGCCCTCGTGATAAGGTTAACAAAACCAGCTCTTGTGCCTAGATTCTGATTTTAATTTACACTTGTTTTTTCAAAGCTAGATTTTCTGAATAAAATGTAGCTACAAAGCTGTTATATACAGTGGAAATTATGTTGAGAATATTTAACACTTTTGGAGTCAAGATCATTTTGAATTTGAAATGAAAGACAGCCATATATTCCACCTTATATGGCTCTTTGCAGAGGTTTCTGATATTCAATGAAGTCACTGAAAAATCCACATTAGCGGAATAAAAAATCATGCCAATTTGTTCTATTTCAGATACATTTTAATATAGTACCATAAGCATCAATATTGGAATTTTTACTTCTCCAACCTGGTTATACAATATTAGATATCATCATTTTTACTTTCTGTTTAAATAAAAAGTCAAATGCATTTGCAGAATATTCAAAAAAGCTTGTGGAAAATGTGTGTTGTCAAACAACTATGCATGAATTTCAAAATTATTTTGAACCAAAATCAACTTATCTTTAAATTCCATTTTCTCATGAACTTTTTGAAGTCCTCTCATATTTGAAAATCATTTCACTTGGCTTTTCTAGGCAAAAACATATTCTATATATTCTGCACACCTCATCCTAGAGTTATACCAAATAATAAGTAAAGCATGTTATCGAATGATCTTTCTGTCCTAGTACAGTCAACTTCTTAGGAATTTCTTGTCATTTCACCTGAAAGCTTAGCATTTGGAAAAATACAAGTCCACAAAGGATTTTCAATATTAGTTTTTATTGGCATCTCTGTATTTCTAGTTTAATTTTAAAGAAACCAGGGCAATGGAAAACTAAGAACCAATATCTTTCTGATGTGTGATTACAAAAAGGTCTAGCATTGGACTCAGGAGGTAAGTAAATGCAATACTTTATATTATTCTGTCAATACTGACTGTTAGGAAATTGTTACTTTCAATGAGGGCTGGTGTCCCGTGAAGCAGCTTTAGTAATAAAACTCTACAACCCTGTTGACTAAACACTTTTATTTTACTTTTTATTTAATATTCTTTTCCTTTCTCAATTTCACGTTGTCCTTTCTTCTTTTGCCCATATGCACTTGTCCTTCAAATTTTTTTTTGTTTGTTTGTTTGTTTTCCCAGGGACTATGTTTTCTCTGAGATACACTTTTTTTTTTTACTCTAACCCCTTTGAAAACATTTCCTGATTCTCCATGTATTCCTGATCTGTCTCAAAAACTGAATAACTGAATTGATAAATTTTTCAGAGTGTAAAATCTAAGAGAAATGAAGGGAAATAGGAAGAAAAGAACAAATTGGAGCCTCCATTTTAGATCCTTGTGCAAATAGCAAGATATAATTAACTGTATAGTAATATAGTCAAATTCTCCTAATTTCCATGCCTATCACATTTATTTCTATTTAACCAGAAAAGTTTAAATGGGAGAACTAAAACTTATATTCATAGGTACTTAAAATATCATGGTTTTAATCCAGCCTTCTAAAAAGTATCATGGATCTCTGACCCGTGTCTTTCCCACAAATCTTTTTTTGTGTGTGTGTGAATTCCACTTCCTGAAGAGTTTTATTATACTTATGATTAGGCCTGATTTGCCATCTTTTCTGCCCCATGGCTCTAAGATAATCTCTTCATATGATACTATGGAGATCATCGGACTTTCACAGTTAGCTTTTTAATTATTGATTTACCCATTTTTGTGTTGCATTGATTTTTAATTTCTTTAGAAAATTATTCCTATTTGAAAGGCAGAAAGAGAAACAGATCTTCTATTTGCTGGCTCACTCCCCAAATGCCCACAAGAATTGGGACTGGGCCAGGTCAAAGCCAAGAGCCCCAAACTCCAGCTGAGCTTCTCATGTAGGTGGCAGAGACACAAATACTTGAGTCATCACCTGCTGCCACCCAGGGTGCTCATTAGTGGGAAATTGGATAAAAAGCACTGTAGCTAGGACTTGAACTAGGCATTCTGGATATGGGATGCAGGTGTACCAAGTGGCAACTTAGCCATTCCACTGAACACCTGTCCTGGTGTTGCATGGCCTCTACCATTGCAAAGCCCCCAATAACAGCCACATAATCCTTCAATCCTTAAAATAAGTATTCTCTCTATAAATCTCAGATGCTTGAGATATTGTCCCCACTATCTTATTCTTCTCCACTAATATTCCACATGAGTTTACCACTGATGAAAGTTTTAACAATTATACCACCACAACATAGTCCCTGGGACTTTCCATTATTACTACCAGCATTGGGGTATTTACTGTCAGACAACATGCAGGTGATCCAGCTCTAAAATCTCTCTTTAGAATCTACTATCTAGCATCACTTACTTTATGAACTGTCACTGGTTAGATTTCCAAAGAAACAAACTCTGAGACTCTGGGATTTGCACACAAATTTATTGGGGAACACTCTTATAAAAAATGCCTATAGGATAACAAGGAAAATCAGACTGGGAAGAAGGAGAGATTAAATTATGATACAGGACCAACAGCTTCAAACAATCCATCAGAAAAGCTCTGAAGTTGGGATAGTCTTTTAGAGATGCTTCACCTCAAGGTAAGAAAGCCATATCTGTACACCGGCATTAACCACTCGTGAAATGCACCCTTGAGGAATTCAGTGCCCTCTGGCCAAAGGTAAGTCCTAGAGGCCACAGCTGTGACCTGTCAGTAGCTAACAATCCAGGCAAGTAGTACAATAATTGATTCTTTCCTGAGAGGATATCTGGGTGACATCATGCAATATCTACTATATCTATAATATACAAAGAGACTTATAAGTAAATTAGCAAAGATAGTTTTCAGTGAAAATTCAATTCACAGAAAAGGACATACATATGGGAAAATATGAAAAGATGCTCATCTTCATTGGAAGTTAGGAAAGTGCAAATAGAAACAACAAGATATTTTGTTCATTTGTCAGATATATATATTTTAAAATACTGATAACAGTGGTGATGAGAAAACACAGAAGGAGATGCTTCATGTGTTGCTAATGGGAATGTGTCTAGGAACATAACTGAACAAATTGGACAATGTTTAATAGAACTAAAATGCAAAATAACATGCCTGTTTGCCCCCAATGAATTTATAGATTTAATGTACTCCCCCCAAAAAAAGCTTGTAAAAATTGACTAGCTGATCCTAAACTGCATATAGAAATGGAAATGGTCAAAAATTACTGAGGCTATTTTGAAGAATAAAAACAATTGGAAAGCTTTTCTTATCAGTATGAGTACTTATTATAAAGACACAGGAATTAAGATTGGATGGTATTGGTATAATGATAAATTATTAGATAAATGGAATAGAACAAAAAGTCCAGAAACTGATCATCCAGATAACCACATACATGGTCACCCAATTTACAACAAAGGTGCCAGCCACTGAAATGCAGGGAAAATGGGTGGGCATCTCAATAAATAATGCTTACCCAATTAAATAAATTTTCCTATGAAAAAATAAATCTTGACCCCAAGTTTGCCTGGTATTAAAAAATAAACTCCCTGAATGTGAAAGACAAACCAATAAAGTTTCTGAAATATCATTGTCCACAAGAATTTTCTGAGATGAGCTGGAAGTTCCCTCCCTCTGTGCCATATGTGCTTACTGACCACTTGGAATTTGGCTAAGGTGACTAAGAAACTAACTTTTAATTTAACTTTGGTTACTTTAAATAACCACATGTGGCTACCATAGTGGATACCACAATTCAAAAAGATAACTCAAAAGAATACCTGTGATGATTATTCAGTGTTTCAACTTCCCAGAATTCCCTTTCTAGTATGTTTCTGGGGTTGCAAGCTATGAGGAAGATGCTTAGAAGAGATAAAGAATAAAGGGAAGATAGCAGCCATTCTGTAGCACACATAGGCCTTCTTCGAGTTATTCAATCAAACATTAAACTGGGTGCTGTTGTAAAGGTATTTTGCAGATGAGATTCAAGCCCATAATCAGTTGACTTTAAGTTAATCAAAAGGAACATCACTTCTGTGTGCCTGATTTAATAAGATGAGAGTTTCAAATGAAGATAAATGTCAAAAATGAGGCATATAATGTGTAGCTTCCTCTCTTTTTAAAAAGATATTATGCTGAATATTGCTTTTTAAAAGTTTTATTTAGTAAATATAATTTTCCAAAGTACAGTTTATGGATTACAATGGCTTTTTCCCCCAAAAAACTTCCCTCCCACACACACCCCTCCCATCTCCCACTCCCTCTCCCATTCCATTCACATCAAGATTCATTATCTTTATATAGAGTAGATCAATTTAGTATATATTAAGTAAAGATTTCATCAGTTTAACCCCACAAAGAATACAAAGTGCCAAATACTGTTTGAGCACTAGTCATATCATTAATTCACATTGAACTACACATTAAGGACAGAGATCCTACATGGAGAGTAAGTGCACAGTGACTCCTGTTGTTGACTTAACAAATTGACACTCTTGTTTAAGGCGTCAGCAATCTCCCTAGGCTCTAGTCATGAGTTGCCAAGGCCATGGAAGCCCCCTGAGCTCTCCGACTTTGATCTTATTTCAATAAGGTCATAGTCAAAGTGGAAGTTCTCTCCTCCCTTCAGAGAAATGTACCTCCTTTGATGGCCCATTCTTTCTACTGGGATCTCACTTGCAGAGACCTTTCATTTAGGTGTTTTTTGTTCTTGTTTTTTTGTTTTTGTTTTTGTTTTGCCAGAGTGTCTTGGCTTTCCATGCCTAAAATACTCTTATGGGCTCTTCAGCCAGATCCGAGTGCCTTAAGGGCTGATTCTGAGGCCAGAATGCTGTTTAGGACATCTGCCATTCTACGAGTCTGCTGTGTATCCCACTTCCCATGTTGGATCGTTCTCTTCCTTTTTTATTCTATCATTTAGTATTAGCAGACACTAGTCTTGTTTATGTGATCCCTTTGGCTCTTAGACCTATCAGTGTGATCAATTGTGAATTGAAATTGATCACTTGGACTAGTGAGATGGCATTGGTACATGCCACCTTGATGGGATTGTATTGGAATCCCCTGGCACATTTATGGTGGAGTTAGAAATGTGAATATTGCTTTTTTAAAAAATATTTACTAACACATACACACACACACACACACACACAGAGAGAGAGAGAGAGACAGCTGCTATCCACTGGTTCAATCCCCAAATGCCCTCAATAGCCAGAGCTGAAGCTGGAAGCTGGGAATTCAGTCTGGTTCTCCCATTATAAGTGGCAGAAACTCAACTACTTGAGCCATCACCACTGCCTCCTAGGGTCAACATTAGCAGGAAGCTGGAACTGGGAGCTACTGAAGGGTATCTAACCCAAGCTCTCTGATGTAGGACGTGTCTTAACTAGAGTATTTTTAAAAGATTTTTTATTTATACAAAGTGAACAAATTTCATTGTGTTTCATATATACATATTTAAGAGTAGAATGATACTTCCCACCCTACCTTCCTTCCTGTTGATGTTCTCATACTCCATCCTCCTTCCTTTCTTATTTTTTCTCTTAATTTTTAAGATATATTTTTCAAATTTTTCTATCTTTTTTCCAAAAGAAATCTTTTATTTAAGGAATACGAACTTCATGCATTTAATAAATACTTTAGGAATATAGTGATTCTTCCCAACATACCCACCCACCTTCCCATACTCCAACCATTTCTCCTCCTCCCTCTCCAATTCCCAGTTCCATTCTCCACTGAGATCCATTTTCAATTAACTTTATACACAGAATACCAACTCTATACTAAGTAAAGAGTTCAACAATTTGCACAGAAAAAAGAAAAAAATAAAAAATAACTGTCCTCAAGAGTTTAGACAAGGACTATTCAAATTTGTTGCATCTCAAAATTAATTTCACTTCTTTTTTATTTTAGAAACTTAATAAACTTTATTTTTTTTTATTTTTTGACAGGCAGAGTGGACAGTGAGAGAGAGAGAGAGAGAGAGAGAGAGATGGAGGGAGAGAAAGGTCTTCCTTTGCCGTTGGTTCACCCTCCAATGGCCGCCGTGGCCAGCGTGCTGCGGCCGGCGCACCGCGCTGATCTGATGGCAGGAGCCAGGTACTTATCCTGGTCTCCCATGGGGTGCAGGGCCCAAGGACTTGGGCCATCCTCCACTGCACTCCCTGGCCACAGCAGAGAGCTGGCCTTGGAAGAGGGGCAAACGGGACAGAATCCGGAGCCCCGACCGGGACTAGAACCCAGTGTGCCAGCGCAGAAACTTAATGAACTTTAAAGAAGCACTCAATGATACATCTTTTGCAAGCAATTAGACATAACTACAACTTATGAGACATATGAATATCTTCCATGTAATACATTAAAAGAAAGTAAGTCTTTGAGAATGAGTCTTATCATTAATTAAGGAAGCACCTAAGAAAACAAGCAATGGAGTTGGGCACTTAGGCATAACTAAAACTTGTGAGACATACGAATATCCTCCACTTAACACACTAAAATGAAATAAGTTTTGAGAAAAAGTTTTACTATTAACTCTCATAATACAACTCTTTGATGACAGAGGTCCTGCATGGGAAGTTAGTGCACAGTGACGTTGTTAATTTAACAATTAACACTCTTATGTATGACCTCAGTGATCACCCAAGGCTCTTGACATGAGCTGCTTAGGCTATGGAAGCCTTTTGAATCCACAATCTCTGTCAGTATTTAGACAAGGCCATAAACAAAGTGGAAGTTCTCTCCTCCATTCAGAGAAAAGTACATCCTTCTTTGATAAACATGTCTTTCCACTTGGGGACTCACCCACAGAGATCCTTCATGTAGTACACTTTTTGCCACAGTATTTTGGCTTTCCATGCCTGGAATGTTCTCATGGGCTTTTCAGCCAGACTGGAATGCCTTAAGGACTGATTTTGAGGTCAGAGTGCTACTTAAAGTGAATTGTCATTCTATGAGTCTGCTGTGTGGACTGCTTCCCATGTTGGAGCCTTCACTCCTTTTTAATTATATCGATCATTACCAGACACTTAATCGTACTTATACAATCACTTTAACACTTAATCTTATCCATATGATCACTTTAACGCTTAAGATGGTATTTTTACCACTCTTAACTAGAGTCTTTTTCCCAAAGAAACCTTTTATTAAGGAGTCCAAATTTCTTAAGGACAACTTTAGGAATACAGTGATTCTTCCCATCATATCCGCCCTCCCATCCCACCTTCACCTCCCTCTCCCACTCCCAGTCCCATTCTCCATTAAGATTCATTGTCAATTAACTTTATACACGGAAGACTAACTTTATACTAAGTATAGATCTCAAAAATTTGCACACACATACATACACACACACCAAAAGAAACTGAGAACAAATTTTACAGTTAATTCTCATAACTCATTGAGGACAGAGGTCTTGCATGAAAAGTAAGTGCACAATGACTCCTGTTGTTAATTTAACAATTAACACTCTTATGAATGATGTCAGTGTTCACCCAAGGCTCTTGACATGAGCTGCCAAGGCTAAGGAAGCCTTTTTAATACACAATCTCTGTCATTCAAGGCCATAAGCAAAGTGGAAGTTTTTTCTTCCCTTCAGAGAAAAGTACATCCTTCTTTGATGGTCACTTCTTTCCATTGCAGTCTCTCTCATAGAGTTCCTTCATGTAGGACATTCTTTTGCCACAGTGTCTTTGTTTTCCATTCCTGGAATGTGCTCATGGGCTTTTCAGCTAGAAAAGAATGCTTTAAGCATTGATTCTGAGGTCAGAGTGCTATTTAAAGTGATTGTCATTCTATGAGTCTGATATGTGGACTGCTTCCCATGTTGGAACATTCTTTCCTTTTTAATTAGGGGTGGCACTGTGGCATAATGCATTAATCCTCCACCTGCAGCACCAGCATCCCATATGGGCACAAGTCCAAGTTCTGGCTGTTCCACTTCTAATCCAGCTCTCTGCTATGTCTGTCCTAGGAAAGCAGCAGAAGATGGCACACGTGTTTGGGCCCATGCACCCATGTGGGAGAACTGGATACAGAGATTGAAGGGAAGAAGGAGCAAATTGTGAATTGTTTCTTTTTGAGCCTCTGTGTAATTTGATTTGTCATTATGGGATAGCCCTTGAAACTTGTAATTTACAAAAGGTTTAATAGAATAATATAGACAAAGCATCCAAAAAATAGGGAATGTGATCTTTCCCTTTCTTTTTTTAAATTTTATTTAGTTATACAAGTTCCATGTATTTCATATATACAAATTTAGGAACATAGTGATACTCCTCCCACCTACCCTTCCTCCTATTCAAGCTCCAACCCTTCTTCCTCCTCCCTCTCATATTCCCACTCTTAATTTTTAGAAAGATCTATTTCCAGTTTACTTAATGTTCATATACTTAACCCTACACTAAGTAAAACAGTTTGGCAAAAAGTATGAACTAAAAAAAAGCACCGTTCCTCAACAGAAGAGACAAGGGCTATAAACAATAATTGAATCCCCAAATGTCCATTTCATTCCTAAAAATAACATTTTAGGTACTCTATTAATTACCTCAGATCAGGGCAACATATTATATCTTTTGGGGACTTGCTTATTTCATTAAGTATAATGGTTTCCAGTTGCATCTATCTTGTTGAAAAGATAGGATTTCTTTTCTTTGCAGCTGAATAGTACTCCATAGTGTATATATACCATAATTTCTTTATCCAGTCAACAGTTAGTGGATATCCAGGTTGATTCTATATCTTGGCTATTGTGAATTGAGCTGCAATGAAACATGGAGTACAGATAACACTATCAGATGCCAATTTCTTTTGGTTTGGGTAACTTCCCAGGAGTGGGATGGCTGGATCTTATGGTAGGTCTCTACTCATATTTCTGAGGTATTTTTATTCTGTCTTCCACAATGGCTGTACCAGTTTACATTCCCATCAACAATGGATTAGGTTACCTTTTTCCCCATATCCTTGCCAGCATTTGTTGTTTGTTGATTTCTGTATGATAGCCATTCAAACTGGAATGAGGTGAAACTTCATTGTGGTTTTGAATTTGCATTTCCCCGATGGCTAGTGATCCTGAGCATTTATTTCAAGTATTTGATGGCCATTTGAATTATCTTTCTTGAAGAATACCTGTTCAAGTTCTTTGCCCATTTCTTAACTGGATTATTTGCTTTGTTGTTGTTAAGTTTCTTGAGCTTTTTATAGATTCTAGATGTTAATCCTTATCAATTGTGTAGTTTGCAAATATTTTCTCCCATTCTGTGGGTTGCCTCTTCACTTTGCGAGTGTTTCTTTTGCAGTGCAGAAGCTTCTCAGCTTGACATAATACCATTTGTCAATTTTATCTTTGATTGCCTGTGCTTCTGGAATCTTTTCAAACAAGTCTTTACCTAGGCCAATGTCTTGTAGAGTTTTTGCAAAGTTCTCTAGTAATTTAATGGCATCGGGTCATAGATTTAGGTCTTTGTTCCATTTTGAGTGCATTTTTTTTTTGTAATATATATGTGAGATACGTGTATAGTTTCATACTTCTGAAAGTGGAGATCCAGTTTCCCCAGTGCCATTTGTTGAAGAGTCTGTCCTTACTCCAGGGATTGATTTTAGCTCCTTTGTCAAAGGTAAGTTGGTTGTAGGTGTGTGAATTGATTTCTGGAGTTTCTATTCTGTTCCATTGGTTGAAATATCTGTTTTCTTGCTGGTTCCCCATTTTTTTAAGATTTATTTATTTATTTGAAAGTCATAGCTACACAGAGAGAGGAGAGGCAGAGAGAGAGAGAGAGAGAGAGAGAGAGAGAAAGAGGGAGAGAGATAGGTCTTCCATCCGCTGGCCCACTCCCCAATTGGTCACAATGGCTGGAGATGTGCCGATCCAAAACCAGGAGCCAGGAGCCTCTTCCAGGTCTCCCACATGGGCACAGGGGCCCAAGGACTTGGGTCATTCTCCACTGCTTTCCCAGGCCATAGCAGAGAGCTGGATTGGAAGTGGAGCAGGTGGGTCTTGAACCGGCACCCATGTAGGATGCTG